CACCGCACACCCACTCTCTTCTCTTCTATTTCTTTCGCTTCTTCTTCCTCTTCTTCTTCTTCTTCTTCCTTCTTGTTTTTCCCGTCGTCTTTTTCTTCTTTCGCTTTCGTGACCGCCGTTAATCCGAAAGTACGTACCGTATGACATTTACGCGAGCTCTTGCGCGCGAACAACGTGAGCGCGATATACAGAATTGCTCGAGTCGGATGCATTAATCTCCGCCGCTTCTTATTGGCTATCTGTCAGAGTTTTTACGAGTACTAAAGTTTCAGAATGCGGACGACACGCCGAGACACTGTTTTCCTGTGTGTGATACAGCTTCGAAAGTAGCGTAGAGTAGTTTCGCTATGATTTCGTTCCTTGTTACTTTTGTATGTATGGGAACGAAGGGCAGTTGTTGGCAGGGTTTAGAAAGAGAGTTTCGAACATTCTATAAACATAGTAATCGCATTAGTACTTAATCCTTGCTGTGCATTATGTATCAAATATCATTCGTTTTCATGCAGAAAAAGCTCGCAGAAGTGACATATATTTCCCATGTCGTTTTACTCTGCACGAAATATTCCAGTTGCAAAAGCAGACAAAAGCATAATAAAAAATTAGAGATACCCGAAAGATTTATTGTATATTATTAGAAAGAACATTATTTAATGTACAATTATTTGTGAAAAATTAGTTCTAGATTAGTATTGTTTATTAATTTATTAGATTAATATTATTTTCAATAATTAATATTATTTTTTCTTGCCAACAATTGAATTTGATGCAAAAGGGAGAACAAGATTATTTTATTATTAATTCTTTGAAAGAAATAGAAAATTGTTTTTAAATTTCCTTATTTTCGCTATAATCGACACGCGAGGAATGAAATAATTTATTATTTACATTAGTAATCCTCAGATTTATATATAAATTTATTCAATAACCAAAAAATGCATGTGTTATTTTAAAAAAGTAATTGGTACAATTAAATGTTTAACTTATTTCCCAATGCACCAAATTATCCGCATCATAGTGTCGTCTCATATTTGATTTTCCCTCGTTGTAATCTCACGCGGGGTCTTTACTTCGAGAGCTGAACGCGAAATGGGGTAAGTTTAGTTTTCGTCGCTTGGCCTTTCTAATCGAACGAACCTTATCAATTTTTACGTTTGACTTCTCAAGAGCACGAAGGAAAATCAACCCTCGTGCGAACCAGACATTAGAACAGTAATCGTAGTCGAAAGCCTGTTGTATCTCGTAACTTTTCAAAGTCGATCGCCATCACCGCCTCGTGCGATTGCGTTGCTTGTCCCACTGACGTGTTGTGTACAATGTCATACATACATACATACATATATATGTGCAAGGCGCTTTCTTATTATCTCCATGATCGTATGTAAAGGCTGCCTTGCAATGCGCTTCATGAGTGTCTTCTTTTATTCCTTCCTTTTTCTTTTCCAATGAAATTACGAGAAGATACTCGTTAAATCGACTCTATCCTTTTCCTTGTATTCAATGTGTGCAAACGAGATACGTATTCATCGATATAACGGCATCATTTACGTGATCATTTAAACGCGCTATCATTTAATGCACAGTCCTCGAAGTAAAATGTAGACCAGAGATTGTCGTTGTTCATTTGTGCACGAATATGCGTGAGCTCGTTACAACGAACATCACACTATAGTATATATATATATATATATATGAGTTAAAGAACCTTATCTCTAATGAGATTTAACCTGCTAGAGCGTATCATTATACAACTGAAATGAGTTTGATATTAGTAAGCGGAAAGGGACGAAAAAACTAAAAACTAGGGGCAAACGCCAACGGAGCAACGTGCCTCAAGGTACTTGCATGGAAGATTCCTAAAAAGGATAAGGCATGCAACGCTCGTATCGCTATCGCGGGTAGAATGAAACAATCCGAATATACACGTCCCATAATTGTCACTCAGATATTTAATTGTTGTTAAACAGTTTACGCTATAATTACAGGATTGAAAATTAAACGCAGTTTAATGGTCATTTAATCTGCAGTTATTTTACGGTTAGATAAAAGAGATGACATCTTTTCAGATTTTGTCCTCAACTACTCTGACACAATCAAAGAGCTGAACCTTCATACATTGACTTTATAGGAAAAATTACTTTTCTCTTTCGGATAATGAAAATAAATAAAAAAAACTAATATTATATATAATATAATGTAAAACAATAGTGTTATTATACAAGAATGATCAAACTACAGTGAATTATATTATATTATCCGTAAACTGGGCCACAGTAATTGAGGATGTTTTAATCGTATTATTGGCATTTCTTAACAAAGTCTAAATTCGGAAGGAAATTTCCAAGTGTCTTGGCATTTTACGGGTTTCGCGG